CTCTCTCTCTCTCTCTCCTTCTTCTCCTCCTTCCTCGCTCTCCTCTCCCCTCTCTCATCTATATATATATCATATATCTATATATATATATTATATATTATATATATTATATATTATATATATATATATATATATATATCATAGTTTTACATATCTAGAAGCCTGCTGTGAAACTAATCATGATATCTAACCACAGTTATCTACAGTTATCGCTGTGTGCCCGTACTCGTGTACGTGTTCTCAGTGAACACAATGCTGAGTCGACTGAGAACCCACCATGAACTTGAGTGTTGGTGGTTCTTTCCGCAATCGATTAAGAGGGTGGCTATCTAGACGACAACAGCTGAAATCATAATAAGTTCCGTGGTCTACGTAAAAGCCAACGAAGGGTGCCGTTTTAGCTGCATATTACAGTACTCCATTTGGTCTGCAGATCAGGTGTCATGTAATTAATGCACGTCGCTGCTTATCTTATTGGCCTATTTTATGTACCATGATTATTTTCACAGCACGCAAGGTGTCCAATTACGGTTGTCGACGTGTACCTGTATTTGTCTCAGTTCTTAACAGAACCTAGGCCAAAAACATCCACCACCTATTGGTATTGCTACGAACATAAGAGTTTCTGCTAAGTGGCATTCCGCAGACAAAGTCATCCTCATCAGCTTTATATGCGACATTCATTTTTTAATCACCCCTGTGTAGCAGTGATGAAGCGCAAAAATGCGTGAAAACGGTCGGTTTGGCTATATATACCGTGGTGGTGTCACGGATTTGTCCCATTTCCATTTTCACACAAACAAAGTTTAATTTGAAATCTTGTGATTTCCAACTCACTCGTCTAGGCACTGCATAATCTAAAAAACGTCCCTGTTGTACTTTTAGTTATGAAGCTGGTCGCATGACGTGTATGAGCATAATCAATTCCATCGACGCTGATCGGCCCTGCGGCGATTTGTGATGCATTCTTCGGACTGACCTCCACTGACCTTGTAGAAAATCAATTTGTCATCCTCTGTGGATGGCACCCCACGGCAGTGACAGGCGGACCGTGTCTAACAAATAGATTATCGGGAACATCTCAGTCGGATTTTCTCTCTCTGTGACAGCTGTGTTTGATTCATGTGGTAACTGTGCGCGAGATAGCTGTTTGATCATGCGCAAGATACCTCCCTCAAACCGGGAGAGTTTTGGGACCGCTGCTCAACACAGTAAGGATGACTCAGGGCGGAGCTGTAACATTGTGAGCCACGTCTGCCAAAGCAATGTTTCGACGACAATATTCAGCGACAACATTCGCGATACGTATCCAGCCAGTTACCTGTGAGTGCAGCCATACCAAGCAGCCGACATGCACCCAAGGACAGCGGCTGATCGCGCACAGCGCCTGACCCGAGGGCAGCCGTTCTGGCCGATTACGCTAACCTCCCGTGACGAGGGCATAACGTGACGTGACGGGGTCAGCCCTGTTGGGCCGGGATGGGTGGGTAATGTCGCGCCCCCGGACACGCAGAGCCCAGCCCGGCCAGAGCCGCCATCTTTCCGCCCTCGGCCCGAGCCCGCGGCGGTGTCCCGTTCGGTTCGTGTGGCGTACGCTATTAAAACAGTGACGATGTCCCGCGGCTGATGGAGCACGGCGGCCGTGACTGGCGCCGGCGGCAGCGACTCCGCGAGACATCAGCGAGAAGGGCGTCGGAACGACGTCGGTTTCCGGGTATGGTTGGACGGCGGTACGAAGATGGGTCAGGTCCCGATGCTCCGGGCAAATGGCCTAAATGGGCATGTTCTTCTTATTATAGTAATCTTATTGCTTTCTTGACAGCAGGATCATGACTGCAGATCACTATCCCGCCGTTCGGATTTCTATGACAATCTGTTTGCACCCCGGTGTCTTAAGAATGTCAAGCAAAACCTGTTGGAAGGGCGCCGGGCGCACCATATGGCCCCGCGGCCGTTTTTTCGCGGAGGGGGTCAGATTGGATCGGCGACAGCTGTGGCCCGAACACGGCTTGGTGGCTCGTGATCAGCTGGTGGGGGGCCCGTGAAAGAAGCGCCTGCTATTAGCTCCGGCGACCAGCTTAGCTGTGACCCTGGCGTCGCCGTTTTTGCTGAGCTTTACGTTGCGGACGCTCCTCGCCAGCGCAGAAAAAGCCCAGGTAAAATCCTGAGGGTAATTTGTCCCGATTCATCCAGTCTCGAAGGATGGTCCGTAGAGGGGAGACGCGTTTTTGCGCGAGCATAGTGATTGGCTTCGGTAATTGTAAAGCATTTTTATCTTACCATAAATTCCCCAAGTCGTTAACTGTCGAGCTGTATATCACATGCCATTCTGTTCCTTTTCCGTTTCATAGTAGATAGAATCGAGCACAGTTTTACGGCGGGTGCTAAATGCAAATGAACATAATTTGGGGCAACTTTTCGAGTGAGATGAAGTATAAAACAGCGTAAAATAAGAGAACCCAGAAACTTGCCCTAACTACCATGAGTGCGCGCCGGAATCTATTAAGTTTTTTTCTATGAGAGCCTAGTCTTATTTTTGCGGAAAGTTACACCGGCGTATAACATTCCGTGTGTCAGTTCTCATGCAAATGAACTCCATCGCATCCAGCTTTTCTGCATTGTGACAGTGTCACTACTTTCCTTTTCTCGAGCTTTTAGGATTCACGTCCTTGCTTATTTTGAAACTCACACCGCTTCAATATGATCCAAAGCAGTACTATCCTGCCAATCACCCTTTTCTCCGCTGCCTCATTAATCAACCACGTTGCCAAACCCTTTCTCCGTCCACCATCCCTTGGTCTAAATACAGCTCTCCAGGGGTACTCTTTCCCGTGTTCCAGGAGTCGACTACATTGATATATAATCCACCTGATGCTAATCTATACAGGAATGGCCGCACAACATTACGATCCGCCGAGATGTCATTCATAGCTCCTTTCACATAAGCTTATTTCGAAAAGAGCAAATCTTTTTCCATGGTCAATTATAACCGATGCTTTTTACATTGGATACCAAAGCTGACGCATTTACTACAAAACCCATTGGCATCTACCGAAATAGCTATTGTGAAAGGCACGTATGGTCCGGGGCAAGTCGAGACCAAGCCCATTACCGCCATGCTTCTCCGATGAGCTCTTACAAATGTCAGCCTGTCCTTCAGCTGCCAGCAGCCAGTCTCACCATCACCACTGGCCACCCTCTGCAGCGGCGCCCAGCCCGCCCGGGCCGCGCCCCTGTGGCGGCCTGAGCACCATCCGTCCCGCGGCGCTGCAGCGGGGCACTCACCGCTGGCCGTGCGGCCGGCATTGAGGTGGGTGTACGGCTGCAGCAGCCCCCAGAAGTCGCCCCAGCCGCGCCCCTGTCCCGGCCTGAGCACCACCCGTCCCTCAGCGCTGCAGCGGGGCACTCACCGCTGGCCGTGCGGCCGGCATTGAGGTGGGCGTACGGCTGCAGCAGCCCCCAGAAGTCGCCGCTGTTGGCGATCGAGTGCTCGAGCGCGGCCGCCGTCAGCATGGCGTGCGGGTCGCCCGGCAGGCTGAGCAGCACCATCTCCTCCAGCAGGTTCTCCATCCCGGCCGCCAGGTACACCGCCGCGTACCTGCGCAGGGGAACGGGGATACACTTCCGCAGCAATGGGTGCGCTCGGCAGCCGAGTACGTCACGAAGTCCAAATGACACACACAGTGTCTCCTATGCTTTGCAGGAAGGTCGTCTCGCCAGCGTGTTGCGGGGCTGTGTCCGCAGCATGGACAGCAGCATGTTGGTATTTCAACCTGCTGTGGCCGATGACCGCTGTTCAAGGAACTTGAATGCGCTAGTTTCGTAAGTTCCGCGTGCGTGCAGTGCACATTACATGCATGCACCACAGACTAACCAAAGGTGCCTCACAGGAGATGGGTAGACGGCAGAGCTCTCAGAAACAGCTGACGGAGTCCTACGACCCAATCAGAGAGGCCTGCCCTGGACAACATGGAACCCAGCGTCCTTTCACAAAAGTCGCGCCAGAAAAAAAACACCACCACGTAGTCACGAGCGTTCATCTAAGTCAGCGGCGTGTCCCTATCCCTCTAACAGATCGCCTCGCGGCCGTCAAGCGGCGCGTGTCAGCACTCACTCGTGCACGAACTTGCCGAGGCGGACGTCACACATCCAGCGGTGGAACCTGCCGACAGACATCTGCAGACCGGCGCGGCCGCTCTTCGACTGGCGCAGCTGGTCGGCGCCCGACACCGTGTACATGGCGGCCGCGCGCAGGCACGCCTTGGAGCACGTGTCGCTCAGCGCCGGCGAGAGCACGATGCGCAGCGCCGAGAGCACCTCGCGCTTGCTGCACATGCCGAGCGCGCGCGCCAGCCGCTGCGCCTCGCGCGCCACGCGCACGATGGCGCGCTGGAGGAGGTAGGCGAGCCGCGGCACGGCCTCCATTGAGACGCGCTCCATCTGCTCCTTAACGCGGCCGTTCTGGATGACGCGCAGCACGTCGTGGCTGGACCAGGGCAGCTGCTGCAGCTCCACCAGTCTGCGGAGAGGTGGAGGTGTCACAACGGGCAACTCCGGCTCATCTACCGGTATAGGAAAACGTGGACGTGTCGCACAGGCAAACTTCTGCAGTTCCTGCAGGCTGGAGAAAGGAAACACTCATTTTGTCAAATGTTTCGGTCTCCAGGTTATGACCTTCAGGTCAAGTAATGTCAAACATTGTGAAACTCAAGATTGGCGTCAAAATGACCCACACCTCCGCACCCAATCAGCTTTAATATAGATCTATCCTCTACACAAAAGTAGCTCGCAGTCATGTGGGGTCAACGACCAAATCTGAGCTTCAGAAGATCAATGAGACCGGAATATTTAGAGACCATTTTGAACCCAACAGCAAAATGTTGATTTACCCAACCTTTATGAATTCAACATAAGAGGCCGTTGACATTCTTGTGCTCAAAAACTTCGAAACAAGCGTCAAAGGCATGCCTTGAAGCAAGTTTTCCGATAAAAAAGCTGTCTAGTTTTGATTTTGATCTGAACTTCGTACCTGACCTAAGTTTAATGCATTCGTTGTAATTCCAACTTCAATTGTTTAATTGTGTAAAAAAGCACTCGTCACAATGACTACACCTAACATCCAGTAGTGTCGCATCCGCTTGAAAGAATCCCTAGCATTGCTCCGCTGACAACCATGGGCTGACTTTGACCTGCTACAGGTCAGCAAACATGAGGAGATTTATGTTTCCACCAAATATTTGCATGCTCAGTTGTATACAGCTAACAAAACTTAGCGTTGCCACGCAGCACGGTTCGGAAATTACTCCACAAAAACCTAAGGGGTTCAAACTGATCTCTCTCTCATCCGAGCAGGTCTTAAGATGAATTGGAAACTCTGCCGCCAACAGCGGTACAAAATACCACCCGGAAAGTCAACGTCAAAATAATGCCGGTTTATCGGCTTTTCAAGACGTAAAATTTCACGTGCCTGCTGTCAGTTTCAACCAGGCACAAACGCGTGAGTTGTCTGTGAAATGATAACATATTGGGCGTACTGTTGAGTAGAGTTATTTCGTCTTCTGAGATATTTTTTCCACAATCGTGCAAGGCGTACAACTCCGTTAAGATCTTTATTTAACGTTCATTATATATAAACAATGAGCGAGCTCTTTCCCTGACATCAAAATAGATAGCTACTTGATGTGGTCGTGTTGAGGGAGTCTTGACAGCATCTATTCAGATCATTTATGTTGGCCGCTGTTTCTACATGTTCAAGCCGATTATAAACGCCTAGATGCATTACGTTTTACTGAATGGTGTTTACATGTCTGAAATGTAAAAAGAGGTTTGCGAATGTAAGATCATGCCGACACTAATCCTGTGAAACACGATGAACGTCCTGTGACAGCATGCAGCACTGATAAGCGGCTTCATCCCATTTGTTCGGAATGCAGTTAACACCTTAAAAGACAGCCTTAATCCTCATGGTGAGACCGCTACGAACATCGCGCCACCTTCCATAAGCATTAATATCGCCACACATCCACCAAGCCGACAGCTGAGGGCGTCAGAATGCTCATAGTCTGGACGTCAAGTCCAGGTCGGCCAGGGGCCGGCCCGGCCGACACGTGGTGGGAGCAAATCGGGCGCCAGTCGAACCATCGGCTCGGATTAAGCCACGTGTCGAAGTGTGCCGCAGATGAGCCGATACGGCACAACATCCGCTCGCCCAGCCGCACACTGTCGTGTCATCGAAAACGGTTCGCTGAGCTCCGCATAGAAATCAGCGCTCTTCGGGGAAGCGTCCGCTGCATGTTTCGAACAGTGCTTCGTTTATGCTAAGCGCTCGACGTTCTCCCGAATGGATTCCTGCGGGCGCCTTGGGGGAATTTTGTAACGTTCACCATATTCTCATTTCAATCCATGACACACAATGCATGGTGTATTCCATTCGAACTAGTCACTGACTTGTGAAAATTAGCACGCACGAATCTGCTCCCTGCTCTCTCTCTCTCTCTCTCTCTCTCTCTCTCTCTCCTATCTCTCTCGCTCTCTTCCCTCTCTCTATCCTACTACTCTCTCTCTCTCTCTCCTCTCTCTCTCTCTCTCTCTCTCTCTCTCTCTCTCTCTCTCTTCTACCTCTCTTCTCTCTCTCTCTCTCTCCCTCCCTCTCTCTCTCTCTCTAACCCATTTACCCATCTGGCCTCCCGTGGAAGCTAACCACGGCGAACTCATTCCACATTCCACATTTTTCACCCTGACCTGGCGTTGAAGTGATCTTAAACGAACCAAGGCACCCCCGCACTGCGGACTTCAGCAGGCCGCTGGTGGGAGTCGAAGAGGACGGGCCATTCCACATCCCCTGCGCGGCCATAAGACCGCAACCGGGATTGTCTTGAAGGAGGAGTGAGCTCAGTGAGTACTCATCATAAGAAAACCGAAGGAGCCGTGTATGAAGTTGAAACAAAACACGCGGGTCTAGAGGGGGCCGCCACGGCCTCTCTCGCTGCATCCGTGCACAGCCGGGCCGCTGACCTGTTGTGCGAGTCGACCCAGACGAACTCGTCGGCGGCCGTGACGTTGGTGTTGACCGTCTCCAGCGACGAGTGACGGATGAGGCGGCGCGCCGGCTCGGACTCCGAGCCCGACATCGACGAGTACGTCGACGTCGAGTAGGAGGTCCGCGAGCCCTGCGACCGGATCGTCAGCTGCTCGATCGCCTGCTTGATGTCGTCCAGGCCCGAGGCTGACTCCAGCTGCAGCGTCAGGTCGTCCTGGGCGCGAAGGGGTCAGGTCAGGTCCGGCCAGGTCAGGTCAGGTCAGCGGTGGTCAGATCTACTCACAAAAGGACACGGTAGTCAGGGCGGAAGAGCTTGCGCGGGCTTGAGGGAATGTTACACTGTCAACGACCGTCCACCATCAAAAGTTGCACTACCGTCTCCCGGTCCCCAACACCACCATGCTGGTACTTATCAGGCTAAAACTAAGCAGTTGTCGTACTCACTAGCCCAAACTGGCTAGCTGGCCGAGAAGATGCAATTTCATATTTGGCAAAGCAAACCTCCACTTTGCGGCATGACAGCCCTCCCACGGGCGGAGAGGCGGAAGTGAACCTCAGCAGGTAGTTACCAATCAGCTGGCGGATCGGTGAAGCGCCAGCCCTCCCGCCCATCACCATTCAGAGGTGGGCCGCGTGGGCGGCCAATGTTCTCAATCGATCAGCCGATGAATGAGATCAATTTAATGAAGCCCTGGCGTCGCGGCGGATCCAGCGCGGCGAAACCTCCGGTGCGTGACGGCTGGCGTCAGCGGTGAGATCGCCAATCGACCGAGGCTCCGGCTGGAGGCAGCTGGGTGCTGCCGGCTCGCTCTGAGCACATGGGACGCGGAGACGAGCGCACGCAGCGGGTTGAGAGTGTGCTGTTTGGCCGGCTACCGTGACCTGTTGCTGCCCAGCCCTCCTGACCTGGTGCTGTGTGTTCACATTTGCCCCGGACTCCCCGTCGGCTGTGGTCTGTTCCTTTCCACCAACTGTGACCAGTTGTTACCCTTCTACTGTGACCTGTGACCTCGTCCTATCGCTGTGACCTATGACTGTGACCTGACAGGGTAACGGGCGACCGTGCTTTGCCGGCACCGCCTGCCAGCACGCCTGCTGCTGTTGCCCAGTGGCCGATGGAGGGCGCTCACCTTTGTCCGGTGTCGGCCGGATCTGAGGGGCAGCGGTCCGCTGGGTCCGCGCGCCCCGCGGCGGCGCCGGCGCCGGGCTGGCCAGACCGGCCGCCGCCAGACGCTCATCCTCCGGTACAGACCTGACAGCGGAGGCACACCGGTCAAGCGCGGCGACCCGACCACTACGGGCTGCCGTTGGCCGGGACAGGGTGGCCGGGGCGGGCCCGGCGGAGACAGCGATAAGACGAGGATTGTATGGTCGTGCTGCGGAGTGAGCAGCACCCTTCGGAGGTCTGCCGAACTGCGGCTACACGTTAGACGGCACGATACGACGCTCGTAGGTCTGGGGTTGGATAACATACCACGAGCTCAGCTTTGTGAGCCCTCCCTGTCTAAGGCTGTACAGGTTTGACGGAAAAGCCAAGGACGATTTCCTTTCATGTTTTCCATCTTTCGCTCTGACCTTTCTAGTCTGACCTGGCCTGACCGGACCTGAACCGCACGAAAGTGTACAAGTGTTGTTGGCGAGGCAGCGTCTTGGCCGTATGCGAGGAGATAACTTGATCTGATCTAACCTGACCTGACCTGGCCGGCCCCATGCTGACCTGAGCTGGCTGCGGTAGTGCTGGTGGCGCGGCAGCGTCTCGGCCGGCGGCGAGGACGACGTATGGCCGTCCGACATGCTGGCATGGCCGGACGACCGGTTCTCGTCCGACGACGAGCCGCCGCCGTACGGGTCCGGACGCCGCTGCAACAGTCCAGACCGGCGCGTCAGACGCGGCGAGGCCTGCCTCGGCTCGCAGCGCGGCCGCCAGTCACCTGAGGCGTACGCTGCCGACCCCACGGACGCGCTGTGGAGCGGGCAGAGATCGGTTCAGGTGGCCACGTCTCGTCTGTTGTGGCTTCCCGAGGGCGTCTGGTTCTTTCTTGCGCGAAAGAGATGGTGAGCGCGGTTGATCCGCGCAGTTTTTGGTAACTGTCGCCCACATGTATGCCTTGGCTGCTGCTGAATGCAGCCCTCGCCAGTTGGGCCTGACTATTGCGGTAATTGGAACATGTGAAGCCAACCGTCACTATCCGGTGTTCTTAGACCAACTCTGCAAAGCATGAGATCATGCCATTTTCTCCTCCTTGAATCTATCCTTGGAGCCTGACAGACAAATCCATGCACTGCCTCTCTGGCTTTGCGGGTGTGCTTTCGTGTTAGTCATCTCTCGATTCGTGGTATCCGTAGTCTGTCCCCACACACTTTCGGAAAAAAATTGTTCAGGGCCACGAAGCCGGAGACAGCTACCATCGGTTCCACATGGGTGGTGATTTGCGGCGCACGCCTCCACAGTCTCCGGCTCACGTTAAGGTGTGTTCAACGGCCAGCCGAACAGCAAAGTATGTGCTGCCCCTGTGCCTCAACAAAAAATCTACTCATTCTGTGCATGAGCTATTTCGGGGAAGCTTCAACCTTTACGGCTGCTTCTTTTCGTTTTGCTTTGCACTGTGACTGGGCGGGCGTCACGATGCACGAGCTGCGCAACGGACGGTGACGTGGCGACGGCGAGAAGCGACGGCAACATGAAGCCTGCTTGCAACGCGGCATAAAGCGCGCCTAACAGTGTCCACCCGGACAAGCAGCGTGGACATGCCTGCCATGTCCACAGCGAAGATGCGCGGCAGATATGCGTCAGCACGATCATGTCCACGAGCCAGCGGCGCCGACCCGCGCGCCCCAATGCCGCATGAGTCGCTTGGTTTGCGCGTCTTTGGCGCAGCGCATGGTGAAACACTCTGACCGCACGCGCGACGTGACATACCCTGTGCCCTCCGAATGTGTCACGTGACGAACGGTGCGTCGTTCTTTGCCAGTCGGTAGTATGGCGACGAGCGTAGGGTGGGTGTTATTGCATTATTATGCAGCGCAAGTGGCATTTTGCATGCTTGCAGACACTTGCAAGAGTGACTGCTAACAGATGGCGCTATGAGGCCGGTTTCCACGGTGTGCATTGTGGAACGGTGTCCCAGAGCAAGCGGTCTGACCCGCCACCGGAGGTGTGACCTTTTCTCAGGCGCTGGGTACAGTGTTGACCAAGGCAGACGGGTGGGTGTGACTTTGTAGGAGGCGCCGAGGCTACGTTTTGAGTGCACAACGGAACTGTGGCCACGGTTGTTATGCTGCTGATTAAGTGCGTTTCATGCACACAGTCAATTCAGTTAACGATACATGCACGCATGCATGATACATGCATGTTGGGTTGATGAGGAAATGGCGTACAGTTTGTAGCAAAGTGTTGCATTGTCACAGAGGGAACGGAAAACCAGATCATGCTAGCTCACGATATCAGTTCGTCGTGGAGTCATAGTGGCACTAACAGCAAAATAGCATGAGATTCGTTAGCTCATAAGTATGCCGAACAATTATTGTGAATCAGCTACTTCGTTAGCAACAAATTAAGCTAGTTGCAGATCACACGATAACCCTAGGCCGAAATTGCGAGTCTTGTTTTTAACTTCCTGTCAGCGAACTTATTCTTCAGCTGTATTCATAAGCCGAACAAAACCCGCACAGCCAATCCGGAGCCTCCCACCCAGCCCACATGGAACCTCCCACCCAGCCGCCCGGCCTACCAGCCTCCCACCCAGCCCACCTGGAACCTCCCACCCAGTCCACCCGGAGTCTCCCACCCAGCCCACCTGGAGCCTCCCACCTAGCCCACCTGGAGCCTCCACCCAGCCCACCTGGAGTCTCCCACCCAGCCCCACCTGGAGCCTCCCACCCAGCCCACCTGGAGTCTCCCACCCAGCCCACCTGGAGCCCCCCACCCAGCCCACCTGGAGCCTCCCACCCAGCCCAGCTGGAGCCTCCCACCCAGCCCACCTGGAGTCTCCCACCCAGCCCACCTGGAGCCTCCCACCCCAGCCCAACTGGAGCCTCCCACCCAGCCCACCTGGAGCCTCCCAACCCAGCCCCAACTGGAGCCTCCCACCCAGCCCAGCTGGAGCCTCCCACCCAGCCCACCTGGACCCTCCCACCCAGCCGGGCGGCGCGGTCCTCCGGGCCGGCGCCGCTGCGGTCGCCGCCCCGCGCGCCTCCTCCTCCGAGCCCGCGCGCCCCCGGCCAGACCTTGATACGTCGGCGGCCGGCGAGCGATCGCGATGGTGGCGCATAATTTAGCCGGGCGGCCGGGGCGCCGGCGGGCCCTGCGTACCCCGGCCGGCTGGGCCATCGCTATGCAAATGGGTCGGCGCACCGGCGTGGCCCGGCCGGCGGCGGCCGCCCGGCTGGGTGGAGTCGGACCTCGGGCTGAGGTCCGGAAGGGAGGCGGTTCGCAGTGAAGGCGGAGAGCGGTGAATGGTTTGTGCGGTTGGTTTGAATGCTAGCACGTGAGCCTGCTCGGTGGTTATGGCGGATAGATTCTACGAAGGGCTGGAGACCTGCATGAGCGCATGATGAATAACACAATGTGAGCACAGCTTCAAATGTTGTACGGAATTTTGGCGCGATGTATTTTCTGCATGGCATCCAGCAGCATCGCGTGTTTTTAATCTACTTAGCTTTTTACTTTTACCTCAATTTCCTCACCGTCAACATGCATTCACTTGACTATTACTCCCATATCAAATTTATGCACTAATGATGCATGCATGAATTTGATATGGGAGCGGCATGTGCCCCGGGTGTTTTCTTTGAATACGGACAGCAGCACGGCTCCTCGACCTGACGAGGAAGTAGCATTTAGCGGGCGGGTGAAGGGTTACCAGCCGACAGACCACAATTATCCGGCCCGCATCTCGTCGAACCCACCAAAATAACGGGCTACGCCGCGGCCGGGACCACGAGGCGGCCGGTCTGTCGGGCGGCGCCCCGCCGGAGGAGCCGGTCCCGCCCGACCAGCGGTCACCGGCGCTGGCCGGCCGGCCCGGTCAGCCGGCGGCGGGCCCGGTTACCGTACCGGCAGCGCGGCGGCCGGCCGGCCGCTGCTACCGTGGCGGGTGCGGGCTACCGCCGGCGAGCGGCGCCGCCCGGCGGGGCGAGCTGCCCGTCACGAGCTGTGTGGGGAGCGGCGCGCCGCGGCGGCTCGTGCTCGCCAGACGGGCCTGGCTGCCACGGCGCCGCAGCCGTGAGCTTCATCAGGAGATGATTGGCAGACATTGGCTGCAGTGGAGGCTCCACAGGATGCTAGCCTAGGTCTGGTGCAGGTCGAGGAAAGGGCGATGAACTGGGTCAGATGGGATTTACGATGACTGATAAGACGAGCACCTATGGTGAGATCCAAACCCGAATAGCTACGATCGGAATAACACAGTGCACCTGCAGTGGTAAGACCTGAAGAAAGGCAAACATCGGGCGCACCATGAGCCCGTGCACGACGAGTGAGGCTTCTCGCAGAACACCGATCTCCAAAGGTCTCCCTCACCTGACAGCGCAGGTCGTCGGCGTTGAGGTGCTGCGGGAAGCTGAGAATGTTGCGTCGCCGCGACTTGAGCTTAGTCGGCGGCCGCTTGCGGCTCATGATGGCGTCGTTCTCGGACGAGCTCTTGTCGAGCGTGCCGCAGTCGGCGGCGGGGCGCGGCGGCGACGGCTGCCGGCCGGTGGCGCGCTCCTTGGCGGGCGGCGCCGCCTCCTCCGCCGGCAGCTCTTTGTCCGACTCCCCGGGCGTCGGGTCGCGCTGGCCGCTCGCCTCGGCCGGCTGGTGACGCTCCAGCGAGGAGCCGGCCGAGCCGGGCGGCGCAGGCTCGCCAAGCGGCACGCTCAGCTCACCCCGCACCTGGCGCACGCCCTGGCTGTGCGCCCAGTACTGCGCAGCCGCCGGCGAGAGCACCAGCGGCCGCTCGGCCGTCACGTTGGCCACCTTGGCGTGGTAGGAGCGGCTGGGTATCTCGGCCCAGGCGCTGGCGTAGCCCACGTCGCGCTCGGGCGGCGTCTGTGGCGGCTCCTCTGGCAGCGCCTGCTGCGGCGTCAGCCGCACCGGCGGACTGTTGAGCCGCAGCGGCGGCGGTGCCTGCGGCGAGGGCGCCGCCGCCGGCGGGCCGCGCGCCTCCTTCAGCGGCGACGGCTTCGGCGCCGGACTCTGGCGCTGCAGTGGCGACTTGTACATGGCCACCGGGTAGAGCGGCTGCGGCGTTTGTGGCGAGGCCGAGGCGGAGCCGGCGCCGGCGGCCGGCGGCTGTGCACTGCGCTGGCGACCCTGCGTCCGGCTCATCTGCGGCTGCGGGCCGCGGAACGCCTGAAACGGGACCGCCCAGTGTAAGGCCGCGCCACGGCAACCGGCTGCGATTGTCACTTACAGGCGTTGCAGGCATGTGTTAAGTTCGTCGCGTTGGTGACGTCTAATGATTAGCAGAGCTGCTGCCTGACCTGTGCAGTGGCAGCTGCAGCTGGATCAGCACCAGCACGCAAGCCAAAACACGGGTGTGGCTAGTGAGACAGTTGACAAATCGATGGCAAACTAAAAATTGAATTTTGTTTTGTACACAGATGTGATAATATTGATCGCATAATACGTTCTGTTTTTTCTTTTTCTTTTTTCTTTTTTGATAGCTCATATCACTCCAAACAAAGTTTCTTGTGAAAAGTCTATGCAATTTTTGCCCGGGTAGGTTTAGGGCTACACAGTCTGATTACACTTCGTAACCAGTTAGATGTATTACCGACAGGAAATTTGAAAGCATACTGTATACGCAGATATCGTATACAAGACATCAAACGTTATACAAATCCGAGCATGCATACCAGATATGGTATACAAGGCATCAAACGTTATACAAATCCGAACATAAATAAGATCCTGTTAGGTCTAATCAACTCCAACAGCTCAACCGAAAAGTGGAAACTCACCGTGGAAAATAAGCCGTTACGAACTAACAATGTTGCCAACAGCGGCAAATCCAATCATAGCCTGTACAGCACCGGCCCGGCCGCCCCCAGCAGAAGCCATGCCAACGAACTGGCTAGAGAGAGTGCGAGGGGAAGAGAGGGAGCAAGAGCGAGAGAGAGGAAGAGAGAGAGGGGGGGGGGCGAGAGGGGCCTATCGGCCACTGCACCGATCCAGCTCCAGAGAGCGAGACGGGCGGCAGCGAATGCCACACCGACCCTTCCCCACACAGCGTGCGGGCCACCTCGCCCCGGCTCGGCTCCCGGCACGCCGCCGCCGCATCTGGAGGCGGAGCACGAGCGGGTGAGCGGCCGGCGGCAGCCGATGGCCGCTCACCGGCGCCGAGAGCAGCGTGCGGGGCGCCGTCTTTGGGCAACAATTACGGCCAGGTACGGCCGGCCGTCGCGCCGTAGTGGCGCCGCTGCATGTCAATGAGCCCGCCTGCGTGCGCTGGCCTGCCAGGCGGCCGGCGGTGGGCCGGCCGGCGCGGCGGTGGCTGCGGTGGGGCGGCCCGGACGGGGTCAGCGCGGGTCGGGGTGAGTCACTGCTCCGCGCCACGGCAAGGCGGTGCCGGCGAAGATCACAGTGAAGCCACTCCGGGCACGGCTTCCAGTGGTCTCGAGTGCTCCCATTAGGACGCTAATGAGATCATCTGCATTTGGGCCTCCCTAATTAGGGGCTCTCAGAGTCGTAACGGAACCGGCCGGCTGCTGCGGCCGATGATGGTGTGACCTTTAAGGCGACTCGAGCGTTCTGACAGTGGACTCAATTTCAGCAGCGATGAGTAGACTGGAGAAGCGCTCGCCAGAGAGGATGACGTGTTCGAGATGACTCACTGGAAAGGGATGAGTCACTGCTAAGTCTCCAAGGCGTCACCACCCTACCACACCGGCATTTGCCATAACTCATGTCACATCCAGACGGCGCGTTTTGCCTCGCGGCTTACAAGCCGCGTATATCATCCACCGTTTATCTCCAAGGATGTGTAATATTCTAAACTTGCTTACTCCGCTCTAAATATACCGCGCATGTTCACAGGTCAACTGGGGTGACAGATGGACCAGAGGGCAAACCGCGCCCACAGGCAGGGGCGAATCGCGACCTCCTCTTCATCGCACAGTCTAGAGACGCTCCGACCGGCGATGGATGCGATGCAAGTCCGACGCGCGATGGTATCGCCCCTGAGCCCGGCGCGCCGCGGGCCGGGCGGCAGCGCCGGCCGCCTATCACGCCATCCATCAAGCGCGCGCGCGCGGGGCCGGACCGGCGGAATGTCGGCCAGCGCTGCTGCGCCACCTCCGGCTGTCAACAGCGGCGGCCGCATGCGGGGGCCTCGGCTCGTTCGGTGTGTCTCCGTCGAGGTCTCCGGAGTGGCAGGCGCATCCGAGGCTGTCTCGCGCGCGCGCCGCGCGGTGCAGAGCACCGGTCATGGCCCTGGCCTGTTTCCCTCCCCGGAACCGTCCGGCGGCTTCTCCGGGAGCGCTCATGACGGAATGTCGTGAGCAAGCCGCGTGGTCAGGATGTGGTGAGCATCTCGTGGGTGAGATTATCCCGTGTCGGGATGGGTCACGTGGTCGGGATCACGTGGCTGGAATCACGATACACGTGGAGCCACACGGTCCTTAATACGCACCGTCGGCGGCGCCGGCGGCGGAGAGCGCACCCTAATTGCACCAAACCGTTTAGGCTCGACCTAGCGGAGCGCACACAAATTGTGGTCCAGGTGATGACGCCGCGGGCTGCGAGGGAAGACTGCGGCGGCATTAGGAGCAATTATCATCAGCGCCATGCCGGCATCGTCTTTTGGACAGGTTCACCCATCACTGTAAATCGGTGCTGTTGGCGAAGACAGGCTATGATTGGCCATGGGAGCTGGTAGCCGAATCGGTGTGCGTAGCGGCTCTACGCTTTGGGCATCGGCCAAGGCCGTGGAAAACTCTCGGAGATATGCGGTTGGATAGACTCAAGGGTGGCAACATTCTATCTCCGTTACCCATGACCCCAACAAGTTCATGAAAGTGCAGCACAAGTCGACTTGGTTACAAGAGGTTGCTGCGCTTAAATCGTGCGCTAGCAGGAGAGCCGAGCTCGCGGGTTTGGACCGTTTGTAGTCATTACTAGTTACGGCAGGCCACTGCTAATTGGTGACGTGTCTGCGGACAGCTCGCATGTGGCGCACGGGTAGCCTGCAATTAGCGCAACAGCAGACACCACTGCACAGCTCTTGTCTCCAAAGAAGCGGTCAGCCAAAGGCTGCCAGCTGCCAGACCTCTAAACTGACCGTCACGCCGCCCTCCTCAGGCCGTGATCGGCGCCGTCACCACCTCCCGCTGGCGCGTGTGCCGCTCCCACGGCCCGGCCGGCGGCTGCGGGTCGCACCACGCCCTGCCGGCGCGCCGGCCGGCGCCGCCGCTCCTGGGCCGGCAGTACGGCCGCCGCGCCGCTGTCGCCGGCGGTCCCCTCTCGGCCCGGCGGTCACCCTCTCCGACCGGCGGTGTCGTGTTTGGGAGAGGCCGGAGCGGCGGCGGCCGGCGGCGCCGCCCGCGGCCGTCACAGCGCTTGTTTGTCGGCGCAGGAGGCGGCCGCGATGGCCGGCCGGCCTGACGCAGCGTTTCCCGGCGGAGGCGTGATTACCGTCCGCTGGAGACGCCCGCCGCTGCACCGCACACAATGCCCGGCCCGACCCGAACGTCAACGCGTGACGGTCGCGGGCCATCCGCTTTATGCCGCGCCCCGCGTCGGCGATAACGCGCCTTCGCTCGGCGGGGCGCGAGCGCCGACGACGGCGAAAGAAGTGTCTGGACACGTCGTGCACGGCCTTGGCGCACTCGGACGCGCAGGGGCGCAGGCGACGGGACGAGGCCGCAGGAGTTCAGGGTCGCCGATCGGGAGATGTCGTGTCGTGCGCGGGCGGTGGCCAGGAGTTGGGACGGCCGCCGTCTGCGGCCGGCGGCCGGACTGGCAGGCGCATTCGGTGTTGTCAGACTGCATGTCTGCCACCGACGGGCAGCCTCAGAACCAGTCTTTCACGCATACACAGCATGTACATGTATTTATTCCCTGATGAGCGCGCGTTCCTCCACCCGCCATCAAGCTGTCAAGAGCCGCTCCTTTGTTTTCGGCTGGAACGGAACCTTCCGCTTAATTGTGACAATAAAGCTGTGGGTTTCATTTGTGAGTCTGGCTGTGGGTGACCTTGGTGTTTCGTCCAGGAGAGCCCGACGTCCCTGCGATGGCCGTTGTGTACGACCCTGGCCATTGTCCTGCGGATCGCAGGGTTGTCCCTCAGGCATCAAATGTCCCACCTTGGATAAAAAACGACGCAAAGCGATTAGGCTGCTGGAAGGAATGCGAGGATGGTGTAGAGGTATGCTGGCTTTAGTGGCGGTGAGCAGGCGGAGAGGTGCAAAGAACTGCTGCGCTTACTGCTCACCCAAACACCATTAAAGCAGAAAGGATAACGAAGAAAACAGACTCACAGCTCCTCTGGTGATCTATACACCAGACGCCTTGTAAATAGCATTCGATTCCAGGCAGCTATACATCACACGGAAATGAAACCATTTCAGGCTTGTTTGCGCGACGAAGGAATTTAACTTTCAAATGGAAACTAAATGAGAACCATGCAGATTTATTCAAACAGAAAACTGCCACTTATGTCAGTGTCTAAAAAACCTTTCGTGTGGCGCCAGTCAGGACTGGATCACGTTTTCGAAGGGTTGTGAAACTGGAACGCTGTGAAGACCATAGCTAGGATGTGATTATCTACGTGCGTGATTGCGCTGCCCTAGTTTTTAAATCTCTTCGTGATCTAAACACATTAAAAGGCTTTTTCCCCAGCTGCGTTTGTCTTCAAAGCAGACATACGAATACACCGAACAACTTCCTCACAGAAAGGCGCGTGAAGATTTCCAGCGGTTTGGCGTTCTCCAGGTCGTCGACCACGCACCTGCCGACAATGCTGTCTCGGATCTGGATCGATCTCCCCCGCCCTCCGATCACAATGCGTCATCATTCGGTGCCGCTGCGCGATTCACTGGTCTGATAACGGCCGGGTTCGGAGAGGAGGAGACAGACGGCGCCGGGCCCGGCCCTGATCGCCGGCTGCCGCTCCGCCGTCGGCCTCTGACCGGCCCTGCCAGCGCTCCGCTCGGTATGCAGTTAACGTCCCGCGCCGGCCGTCCCGCAACCCGGCAGCTCGGAGTAGCCGAGCCCGGACGGACCGCGGCAGTGCAGGCTATCACAGCACGGCTCTGGCTGTCGCCGCACTGTCCGGGCTATCGCAGATCCCAGCCGCGCCCGGGACAGCCCACAGTCTGCACCAGACCAGGCTCGGGACAGCCCACAGTCTA